AACACATTTGCCTGTGACTCTAGAAAGGCAATGACAGTTTAGGAGGCTGTGACCAGAAGTACTGATTCTGAAATATCAGTTTTCCTTTCCTCTTCTTGCTGCATCACTTACATAAAGTTGTACCCTGCTTTTGTTTCTTCCTGGCTCAAAGACGTCAGTAGGATGCCACTTCTCTCTAACACCACTTTTTGATGGACCTGCTGTTCAGTCAGCTAAATCACACTGCCAGCACTACCATAATGCCACATTCTGTCAACGGCTACAGCAGAGCGAATTTCATCTTTGGTAAAGTAACATTAAATCCAGATTTTCTTCACTTAAACAGCTCATACTGTAACTGCCACAGTTCTTGTTCTTTTCTCCATTTGAGGTAGAAAGTTAATCCCACCCCAGCTATCATGTAGGTAGTAATTTATCCTCATGCAATTAAAAAAAAAAAAATACAGAAAGCAAATCCTTACTGGCATTTTTCCAAAGAAATATCAACTTAATTTTTTTTTTTTAGTCTATTCTCACTTCTCCTTTTTGAACCCAAAAATACAGTTAAACTGCAGAGTTGTAACTATAGAGACAAGGCACAATAAACACAAATTAACTCACGAAGCCTGTGGAAGAAAGGCACGATCGCTGGTCTGTGTTCCCTATTCACACAGTGCTGGAAGGAGAGTCCCAGCTAAAAAATGCAGTGCCTGTACAGCTCCAGTATCACACAATTAGTACTTGTCATCCTTGGAGCTCAAAATAACACAGTGTGTTCATTTGCAGAGGAAAGAACACATTTTATTAAGAAAACTGGATCTCTGTGCTGATAGTGCCACATCCACAAATAAGAATAAGGTTTATAAAGCTGAGAATTAAAGATAACATCAGACAACCAAGTGAGAATCAATCAAATAAGTCAGAAACTAATGAAAAGAAATAAGCATTTCAGTGTAAATCTCTAGTCCAATTCTGCTCCTTAATTTTTTAGGACAAAATATTCAGAGACCACAGGAATATCAACAAACAGTAAAACTAGCACAAAGTACCTTTCCTTTGCTGATCAGTGGGCATTGACTCTGTAAAGCAATATTTTACCTGAAATCCCTGCAGATATCAGCCCATTGGTACCCGTAACAAATGCACTTTGGGGTCCCAGACTCAGGAGCAGAGGCTGTAAGGCTGTATGTACTCACTGGCAGCCAGTTTCAAAACAGGGTCACAAATCAACTGCCCAAACCCAGACAAGGCAAACCAGCCACTGTCAGCACCTGTGGACAGTGTGGATATTGACATTCCAATGCACTCAGGGAGCACAATCAACCAGATTCTTCCAAGGAATGCGCCAGAAACCCCAGAGGGAGTTTGCCCTCGTGGGCACACAAACCTGTTGTTGTCATCTAGTGATGGCCATTAGCGGTGCCTCCTGCCCTGAGCTGCCCTCACTCATCCCTTCCTCCCAACTGCTCCCACACCTCTGCCTGCCTTCTCCCCATGTAAGAAGGGCTACCAATATTGATCTATGTGACAAAGTATGCTGTGGGATCACCTTCACTTTAGCGATATTTTTGTGGGCCCAGTGACTTTAAAGCAGTTTTTTTTTTCAAGATTTATTTTTTCTTTGCATAAATGCATTTCTTGAAGCATAGGGAACACCATCTTCTACTTGACCAACGTGGGTGTGCATATATATATATATCTATATATCTCCAGTTGATGCTGTTGAGTTTCTTCTAATTCTCACAGTCTACAGAACTGCATGGTGAATGACTAGCCTGCTCCTTCCTGCTTCTACATAAATATTGTAAAAAAATTAAAATAAAAACAATATCAGCACAGATCTTTCAGGCAAGAAATTATAGACATTTTACAGTTACTTTAAAACCCCTAGTAAAAGATCTTGCCACAGGCTTTGTGTAAGTCTAAGTAAAATCTTTTTAGTCACATAATATGGCTAGCCAAAGACTTTCAGTACACGGGGGAAGTATGAAACCATGCCATCCTGTCCCTGTCATGCCCTTCTCTGTTCTGTGAAGTGTCTGACATTTTTAATTTTAGTGCTAACTTCAACCTTTTTTCCAGAACTAACTCTTGACGAGTTCATTGTTCAATCTCAGCTCTAAGTCAAATCGGTACAATCTCTGCTGTACCCTATTGCTCAGCAGAATAGCTGGCTTTAATGAGCCTGGGTGTAATGAATCTATGTTCAGTCACCTTATTCTTAGCAAGGCCCAGGACTCTCAGGTGCACACCATCTGCTCCTACTGACCCGACTGCTCTTGGATTTTTTCCATTTATTTCAGCATTTCCTCTTCTGGCTCATGCTCTCACATTCCCTACCTGCTCTCTGGTACCCAGTCTCTTTCATCTATATAACTTCTTGGATTAAGCCAACTAACCTTTAAACCACACCAAACCCTTGTCTGTTCACTGTCTGGGAGTGCATGCCATTGCTTTTCCCACAGGAACTGACACAGCAGCAATACTCCAGCCAGGATGCACCCACCTGATATTTGTCTAGACAGCAAACCCTGCCATTACAAGTAAGGAAGGTAGAAGGAGATTTCCCATAATGCTTATAAGAAATCTTAATCAAAGACTGTATAAGGAAAGGCTGCTTCTTTCTCAAAAAGTCATCCCCCTTATTACAGAAGTACAACTGAAGACAACAGCAGAGGTCTGAGAGTGCTATGGCACTAAATGCCAGTTCTGGAAGCATCCTGATCTGCAAAACCATTCCTCAGTGAATACCTTGAGAATAAAAAGCTGTAAACTGCGCATTCCTTACAAAACCATCCAAAGCTGCCTCTTTAGTTAGAGCCCATGCAAGGGCCAGAGAAGGGTGTTAAGTACCTTCTGGACTGTGCAAGCTCCAAATCTCCCCATTTCTGACATGAATAAACTCAGCATGACCATTTCTCAGTCAGTCAGTAGGGATGCCGGTATGTGAAGCACTGACAGATGGCGATTTTAAAAAGCATTAAAAAAACCCAAACAAACAAAAAAACTTTCATGGTCAACAATTATTTCAAAGAAAACACATTATCTTAAACCAAACAACCTGCCTCTGCCTAAAAGAAGTGTTCCTTGTACTAGGAGAAAACATACACCATGAACCTCTGTGCCCTGCTCCTGTAACTGTTACAATAGTAGGATTTTTTAAAGAGAAAATACTAAATTGCATCTTCAGAGGATAACAAAAAGCATCAGAAAAATATCTCAAACAATGTTGTGGGATTTTCCCTATCAAAACACCCACCTGTCTTTCTTTCTTTTTAATTCACTACATTTTTTTTCCTGCATCTCAGTAAACACAAGAATACCTGGCTGCAGTGGGTTTTGAAGACAGGCACTCCAGCCATAGAGCAGAACACCACTGTGATTAGTGCTGTATAAACAAGAGGGGGAGGGATGGAAGAAGGAGGAGAAACAGACCCAGATCCCATAGGCCTTATTTTCTGAATATTCCTGAAGCCAATTACAGGCTTGTTTCCCAGTAATGTCCTCTTCGCAGCATAAATATACCTGGAAATAATTTTAAAAACAAAAAAACTCACCCCACCATTTCCAGGCTTAAGTCACACATTATAATCAAAATGACCCCAAAAACAGACTATGATAATAATATGATCATAAATTTCACTTAAATGATAGGATAAGAAACCTCATAGTAGAAATAAGAGGGTTCTTTCTACACTTCTTTGGAAAATGCAGTAACTGGGCCATAGCAAGTTCCTTAAATATGCCTTTTTACTTGAAATCCTCTTTGCAAAAAGACCCACTCTTGGTGCTATATCTATGTGAAATCTCTACTTTCACCACTCAAAATTCACCTGCAAGACCAAGGTCACAGTGTGGCTCACTATAAGGTAGTAATAGTGCTTGGTACGATTTTAGTTTTACTGATCTGGTAAAGAGCACAAGCAAGAAGAAGAATATCCTTGAAATACCAAATTTTCATTCAGAGTTCCCTGTGTTTATATAAGCCATTAAGAGATGGTCAAACAGCTATCAGGAAAGCAGTAGATGAATTCAGTACCCTCAGGTGATGCCCAGGTACAACTATACATCAGTTCCATTTCAACATAACTTTTTTCTGCTCGATAAGTAAAAGCTACTGAAGAACAGACTTCATGTAAATAAATAAAATAAATAAATAAATAAACAGGAATATCCCATCTCTGTTCAGTTTATTGTCAGAAGTATTATGCAACTACAGTGCATTAGTCAAATTACTAATCCGCAGGTGGAGAAGGCAAGTCTGACTCTTCCCTGTCCCTGGAAAATGGCTGGCACAAGCCTTTTCCCACCCCGGACAAGCTTCTCCTCAAAACTAGGATGGTTCTGCCTCACAGTCCCTGCTGGGGACTTCTGTGGCTTTGCTGCTCTGACAGGGCAAGACCCTCACACTTCGCACCTTGATGTGTTCGTGCTCAAAAACTGACCTAAAACCCGCAGCATCATTTTCACCCACAGATTTTTTTTTCCACTGAAACAACACGTAGAAGAAAAAAAAAACCACCTCAGAGTTACGCCAGGAGTTTAACACATCGCACGTCCTTACAGCTCTGCGCACACAACTGCTTTTATGACTTTTGGGGCCCTTTTGAGGAAGGCGACGGCAGCAGCGACCTGACCGGGAGAGCCCGCACTGAGTGCCCGGGGCTCACGGTGCCCGGCCCGGGGCTCGCAGCGGCGGCACGGGCTGCCCCCAGCACCGCACCCGGAGCGGGGAACCGCAGGGACGCCGCACACCAGCACTGTCAGCAGCCCGTCTGGAGGGAGAAAGCGGGCACGGCGCAGCCCCAGCACCGCCGCTGCGGGAAAGGGACCTGCCCGGGGAGGGAACCCTCGTCCCGGCCCCGCGGGCAGCGCGGGGGCACCGGCCCGCCCGCAGCCCCCAACTCCGCGGCGGAGGCAGCGCCAGCCCCTCTCCCGCAGCACTGCGGGAGTGCGTCCCGTCCGGACTCCCCCCAAACCACCGCACGCCCCAGCTCCGGGGGAGCTGGAGCCGGACCCACCTGGTGCAGAGTGTCGGGGGGCAGCTGGGAGGCCCGGAACAGCTCGCCCACGCTGCTGCCCCCGGCGGCCGCCTCGGGGGGCGGGCAGCACCGCGAGAAGAGCTCGGAGTAGCGCTGCTGCTCGGTCTCGCTCAGGGGCAGGAGCAGACCCCCGGTGCCGGCAGCGGCAGCAGCGGCGGCGGCAGCAGCGCTTGACCCCCCCGCCGGCCCCTGCTCCATGGCGGGGCGGCGCAGGCAGAGCCGCGGCGGGGCAGCGGGTGCCGCCGCCGGGGGAGCGGAGCGGGGCGACGGGCGGGGGCCGGGAGGTGTGGCGGGGCCGGGGGGCGGTGCCGCTCTGCGGAGGGGAAGGTGCAGTCCCCGCCCGGTGAGCGCCGCGCCGGCTCCGCAGTGCCCCGGCCGCTGCCGCCGGCCCCGCCTCTGCCCTCCCCGCGGCCCCGCCCGGCCGCCAAACCCCGCCAGCCCGGCGGGATTCGTGCTGCTGCCCCGCTTCGGGACGTTGTTCGCATGGCTCAGGAGGACACGGATTTCTCCCCATACCGTAGAATCGCAGAATGGCTTCGGTTGGAAGAGACTTTAAAGAGCATCTCTTTGCAACCCCCCTGCCGTGGGTAAGGACAGCTCCCACTTAGAGCAGGTTGCTCAGTGCCCCTCTAGCCTGGCCTTGAACACTTCCAGGAATGGGGCATCCCTCTCCAGCAGTGTTTTCAAAGTACCACTTGCTGCTGAAGGTACCGCTGCGGTAAAGAGGTGCCATAACGTGATACCCTGAAGTGGATCGGCCGTGACGGTGTGATAGAGGAGCATCTCACTTTGTTCTCTGTAGTCTCTGCTTGAAGGGCAAAGATCCCTTTGTTCATGGAGACGGGATCCCCCGTTAGCAGTGATGCTGTAAATGTTCCCTTTACAGGTCGAGCAACACCTTAAAAGTCAGGGAGGTCACGACTAAGGCGGAAGGACTGGGTACTTCTAAGCCAGGAGGTTGGCTATGTGGCTCAACCTGGTTTTCAGAGCCCTTCTTCCCAGCAGTTCTTTGGGGAATTTCAAGGATTAAGCTAATCAACCTGAAAGTGATCCTTGCAAATATCTGTTACCCACAGAGGAGTCAACAGTTTTTCTTCACAGCAGCTTTGGTGCTAAGATGTGGCCTGGCCAAGGAGAAATCAGACTGTTTGCTTTCAGGTCTGTACCATTAGGGTGGCTATTGTTGCCCATGTTCCTGAACACAGAAACAGTTGGGAAGTCAATGTGGTTTAATTTTATATGCATATTTACTGTTAATTCTGAAAAAAAAAAAAATCCGTATGTAATAATTTTACATAACATTTTTACTAGAAAATAGGAGGTTAGGGTTTTTACATTAAAATTGCCATCAGTTTAATTTATGGTCTGTAAAGCCAAAAAAATAATTACTAGCTCATCACCTCTGTCCTTGGTAACCAAAACCATTATCTGTTTTTTAAATCTTCTTTGGAACTACTTTTATCTTCTCCACATTGTGCATCTGTACCTCCTTCTCACTTGCACAAAACATGCAAACCTTTAGTTCCTCTGATCAGAAATTAAGATCTGTGCCTGCCTTCTCAGTGTGTGGAATGCTGAATAGGTTGTTAGACGCAGTTATTAGCAGGTGAATAATTGATGCTCATGTTAAAGGATGGAGTGTTACAGAGAAATCTTTGTTCCTTTAGGGACAGTAGATTGTCATGGTATTTTCTCATTTTAAAACAAAGTGTTTCAAAGGAGGGGCAAGACTATTCCAGCAACTGAATCTTGTACCCCAACTTAAATACCTGTATCAGTCCAGAAAAATTATAAGCCCTCTTGAGAAAGCTCTGCAGAGCGGAGAGCAAATGACTTCTCTACTGCAAGATGTGTCTTCTGGGGAGTCACAACATGTCACTGGCCTTTTTCTGTATCTTCAGTCCGGTACAAGGTACTGCTCACAGGAGATGTGGAGAGCCATGTGGAGCTCTACTAAACTATTGCCATATTTAACCGTATGACTCTCATGATAATAGAATAATCTTCAAGTTAGCTTATGAAAGAATAGCTGTCTTCCAGCAGAACTTGAACAGGAGAGATGTTATCTTAACAAGCAAATGAAATTACTGTCAACAACTTGTGCTAATTGTGCATTTTCCTGTGCCTGAAGATGCTCATTGATAACTGACCAGCTCAATGCTCACAATGCTCATTTCTCATCACAATAAATACTCCTCTTGCCAACTCTTCAGCAGACATTATTTGTTGATGTGTCAGCCTCAGTTCTTCAAAGTTTTTCTAAGGTGGACCACGGCAGCAAGATTTTGGAAACACACACTGTTCCAGAACACAATAGTCTCTCTCACCAGCCACACCTCTTACTGCAAACACACACAGCTGCTTTTTTTGTTTTGTTTTGTTTTACCCTTTGGGCAATTTTCTCTTCTTCCTTGACCTTTAAAACTTGCATTCCACTCTCCGTACAGCCCACTCGCATCAGAAATGACACAGTGTCTGGGTTCACAACCAGTCTACCTCAGTGTTGTAATCTCCACCGTGCGTTGTCCACAAGATATGACAGAAGTGAACCCCCTCAAGTTGAGGGAAGAGGCAGGGAAATCCATGCCTCTTATTTCTGCAAAATAAGTATGTGAGCTTTTAGGTGTGAGCTGACCATTCCCTGGGCATGAGCACACCTTTGGGCAGTCCAGGGGGTGCTCCCTTTGAATTGCAGGCATCCTTCAGCACTCAGCAGTGCCAACTGCACCGCTGTACTCTCTGCAGCCGATGCTCACAGGGAGCTTTAACCCAGCCCATGTGCCAGAGCCACTTTCTGTACAGTCCAGTGTGTCTCGTGCAGTGGCACTGACGGCCCTTGCGTGCTTCTCGTGAGGGTACACTAGTTCAGAGTAAGAGGCACTTCATGATAACAAAAGCCATACAAGTATAGTAGGAAGAAAGATTCAACCTTCCTGTTTACATGGAAGTTGTGATGTCATTATAGGTTACAAAGCTTCCCTATAACTAAGAAATGCTACATGTCAGTAAATCAAACCAATTCAAGTATTTATTTTTTGCTGGAAAAGATAAAGTCAGTAATGTAAACTGGATTGAAATCTGACTTATCAAACTATGGTTTAGATCTGTGTGTGGTCCTCCTTCTCTCCCCACCCAACTAGTAATGCAATGACTTACTCTGAACTTAGCCAGCAGCAGTCCTGCAAACAATTTTGTGATCAGGGGTGGGAGGGAAACTGAGCTCGTAGTGGAAAAAAACCCAACAAAACAAAAATAAATACTGCTCCCAAAGATGTGCTAGTGGGAATAGTAGTAATATGTATGATAGGTATATTTTTATTCAGGATACAAATTGGTATAAATTGTCATGTATAATATGACATAATACATAATCTCCAGTAAAAAGTTCCTCCCAATATTTTAGTATTTAGGAGATCCTGGGAATTTTTACTTGAGCAGTACAACCAAAGATTAGTCACTTAAATTCATGTTATTTCACTAATCTTAAGGTTTAGAACATGTCAGATTTGTCCAGGCCCAAAAGACATGAGATCTGGCTGGCAGCTGCTTCCCATTGAGCGTGGAAACACTGCACATATCACCAAGTAAAGCTTTGGAAACACATGCAAATTGTTGGCTGGAAAACTGTGATTTAGCTTTTCCCAACCCAGCTCAAGTGAATCTCAACCATTGTTCCTCATAACAATTCTTTTTATTTACTTTCATTGCAAAATAAAAGAAGACTTTGATGACAAGCAACTGGTGGGGCAGGTTTCCTGGCCATGGTGTCAGGCATGCTTGGACTATAATTGACAAGCTTGTCATTTTGTGTAGAGATTCAGCGTGCGAAGACTCTTATTATTATTTGCATTGCATGAAGATATTCCACCTCTAAGAAAACAGGAGAAATGCTTAATGAACTGTAAAATTCCATTCCCTGCTCTCCAGCTTGTTAAGACCTTTAATGCACCAAACCTCCTGAGAAGTTGTTACTGTTTTCTAGCTCTGGCCAACAATTGTTTTCAAAATTTAAATGGCATCATAGGTGAAAACTGCCTTCTCTGTGCACGTTGTGGAAGACACAGTTCCTGACAGGCTTTTCTCTGTAAGCAACTGAGTACCTAATAGAGATTTAGAGTTGGTGTCATAAAATAGTTGACAAATATCAATATATTAATTAGTTGTGAGGGGAGGGAAGGAGGACCACACACAGATCTAAACCATACTTTCATAAGTCAAATTTCAACTCAGTTTACATAACTGATATTATTTTTTCTAGCAAACAATAAATACTTGAATTGTTTTGATTTACTGGTATGTACAGTTTCTCAGTTCCAGGAAAGTTTTGTAACTTAAAAAGATATCACAACTAGTTGTATTTAGAAGGGTCGTTTTAAAAGTCCTTTTATAAAGATTAATGCATTTAGTGTGAGCTTAAGTGGCATACGACAAAGCCCATGCACACATCTTTGGAAGAGCAAGGACAAAAATAGTACACTGCTTTTTAGGTAACATTCCAGGAATATAAAGCCTCATTTCCATTGATTTCCATCACAGTCCCTGGCAGTTTATTTCCTTTAAAATAACGGCTTTTTCCCAATGTGGAGTTGGGGGAAAAAATTAGGTACATGTTTGTTATTTTTTTAGTGTTATTTTTGAAATATTATCCACTTTTTTATTCGGCAGATGCAAAAGGTCACCAAGTATTAGAAAATGTTGTTCCTTTCACTCAGGAATTTCACAAAGCCTTCAGCTACTATCCAAACACCTGGTTTCAAACAGAATACACCAAACCTTATTGTATTGCAGGGTGATGGTTCCTAAATGTCATATCATCAGATACTTGAAAGCCTGAGCCAAGAAATGCTGCCAGAGAAAGATCTACGTGTTCTTGGAAGTCACACACAGAAAAAATAAAAATTAAAAAATAAGTAAATAAATAAAAGAGGCATCTATGATTGTCTTCTCCCACACACACAAGTTAAAACACAGAACTTGCAATATATTCTTAAAGTTAACTCTATTCTTGTGGACAAGGAAGGAAATGCATGTTAGGCAGAAAGGATTATTACAAGAGATTAAAATTAAAGAAAACTTTTTAGTGCTTTGTGAGATGACTGATATACCATCACTTGTTTCTTTTAACAAACTGTTACTGGTAACCACACTCTTAAGTGAAAAATAATCACAGAAAAGCACAGAGACATTAATCATTACAATGAAGCCATTAATGCAAAGCAAATGTGTGTTTTCC